TGCAAAACCAGGCTGTTTCGGAATAGAAGCAACTGCCCAACCGAACTCGAGGCTGCGTGAATCCATGCCCTCAAAGTCGTAGGGGAAACTGGAATTAAATCGGCAAACAAAAGTTATTGATGCGATGGTGTGAAGTGCAACGGTACGATTTGGAAATTTTAAAAATATGTGGTCCAGATCAAAGGAAGCAATGTTTCTCGAGGGAGTTTGTGTAATGGTGAGAATTTGTGGAAATATTTGAGGTCAAAGTTGAAAAATGGGCGATTTTTACCAAGCCGAGAAAGCCAGATTACTCACTGATTGCGTCAGCAGTCTCAGTTTTAGGTATCTCATATATGTAACATTCAGTAAGCAGTACAAGTGAAAGTCTAGCATGGGGTCAATATGACTTGGGGCATCGTGGCATGGAGTCAATCTGTCGCTGGATCAAATTGACTGGGTCAATTTTACGTGCCACCAAGAAATTCGACCCTACATACATATTTGCAAATCCTAAACAACATCAAGTTTTAGATAGAATAAAATATTCATTTTCAAAAATGGCGAAGCAGAGCTTCCAAAATAGCCATCGAACAAGGGGAAATTGAGACACAAAAATAAAAACGTAGAACCTACATACAATAGAACATTAACCCTGTAACTAGTATTTAAGTACAGGCAAAAGCATCAATTCGGGAACATCATAAGGGGCATTCATAAATTATTTCGCGTAAAAATCGCGATTTTCTAGACCCCCTCCCCCCCCCCGCCGTTCTTGTAAATTTGACTAATCTTTGACCCTAAGGTTAAACAAAATGTACCCATTTTCACAATTACAATTCATACCTTACACCCTCGGTTAAATCGAATATTCCATTGGCGCAATCGAGTTGAATTACGCCTACGGCCCACACGCACAACGGAGGTTGAGTGGTTTGAAAGACGACCCTCGAAATTACCGGATGTACAACGTTGTCGAGGAAAGATTTCGCCTGTGCAGCAACGTCCCCACTGGGTGTGGTTCTGTGCAGCATGGAGATTTTGTGGGCAAGGATGAACTGATGTGGGGCCTTGTAGAGCTGACCGTTTGCAACGACCGCGTAGTATAGGGTTTGGTAACCCCATAGTTTCTGTAAAATATTAAAATTTGCATTTATGTATTCAAATTACGTAAGGAGAATAAGTAAGTGACACAATTTTTATCATGGGAATGCATTAAATTTAACTGAATCGCGCTGATAAAGTTTTTCACGGGTGGATACATATTACCCACCCGTAAAAACTAAATTTCTTGCAAATCATTGTTACCCAGTGGGTAACACTAATTTCAGTATATTAGGGTAGTTTTTTTACCAATGTGATAGCAGGTTTAATACAGATAAATGTGGTTGAGCAAATTAACAGAAATTAATGAAGTTGTCAAATAGGCAAATTTTTGAACAACACAATTTAACGAAATTTCGAAAGTGTCAAAGCTAAAAATCTAATGGATTTAAATACATGTAAATGCATATTAATATCTATGTAAATAAGAATTAGGTAATGAGATTGTGTGTCTGTGTCAAAATTTAGACTTTCTGCTATTGCCGTCTAGTCGGGCTAATAATCTATTACGTTTTTGCATATATTTCGATCGCGTTTTATTTTTGGACCATATTTTTTGCGAATTCGCAGATCACGTGTGATAATATGTATCAAGTGCCGTCAATCATCCGCACGTGCGAATACAACGTGCCGTATGTGACCCACGTTATACGTATTGCATTATCTTCACATGTTGCTCGACATCCATTTGAGAGAAAAAACTCAAAAAGTTGATTAAATAATTAACGTTTTTCAAGATTTCGGGGTAGCCTAAGGTCACAATATTTGATATCACGGTGGAGGCGTTGCCCCGCTTGAAGACGCCATGTTCGTAATGGAACACGGTCCCAGCATCCGGCCCGGAAAGGATGTCGGAAACAATGTCCACGATTTGGCTCTCTTCGAGGGCACTTTCTACATCAGCAACGGCCAATTTCAAGGAGAATAAATTGGCAGAGACGGTATCCAGGGAGGCAATAAGTTGATCTATTTCCGGTTGAAGGTCGTCAGTCGCTATAAAAGCCCAAAATTGCTGTTATGACCATAGAGCTGAACCAGACCCAGCGTACTACAAAACTCTTTTCCATATTTAGCAGAAGCAGAGTGAGACTCGGACTCTGGTGGGTATCCACCACCACCGCTGACTGTCGATTCGACAGTGCCGTATGGTGGTCTGTCTCACGTGTCACTTTCTGCAAATTGTTGACCGGAAATATAAATTCAAAAAAGCTTAAGTTTTAAATTTTGGGCGAATTGGTAATTCAGCATCACAAATTTTAATAACTTCAATTATATGTCTCATTTTCTCATGAGTGACAATAGTTTGTTACGGCTCTTGCAAAAATAAGTCCCTCCCCCAGAAACTTTGACCCAAAAAAACTCATGGTTCCCACACTTTGCAGTCTGACAACAAAAGCTTAAAATGTTCGTCTTTCGAAGGAGAAAAATCTGGCATTAGGTTGTCAGACTGCAAAGTGTGGGAACCATGAGTTTTTTGAGGATTTGTATGTACGTAAAAAAACGCGAATTTTCAAATTTCGAAACTCGTGATGCATAAAAATGTTGGTATTCAAGGGGGAATTGGAATTTCAAATACAAGTCGATGTCTAATTCTTACTGTACGCTGTATACATTGACTTTCTCATTTTTTCAAATTTTATTCCCCCATTTTTGGAGGGGGGTTAGATGCACATATTTCAAAAATCGTTATGTTATATATATCCTTGCACCAGGAATTCAATTTACAATTTTTTTAATTAAATTCGGTGACATCGACGCGAAAAGGATTTGTACAGTACACTTGGTCTTTATCCATAGGTATCGTGAAATTGAAAATTATTTTATTTCATTTTGTAATTTGATCTTTTAAAATCTTGAAAAACCTGCAGAAAAGTGTTACAACTTAAGTTTAAGATTCTTCAAAATATGTACTAAACATTCTTCAAAAAATAGGAGACATGCATAAATAGAATATTTACTTATTGCTTTTTCCAACAACTAAACTAGAAGTGGCAGAAACGCGTTTCTAAATTTGCTCAAAGTTAGGGCGACTATATATAAAATGCGAAAAAGACTTGTGTTCAAATTACATGAAAAAATTACGCTTTCCGTAGTTTTCTTTACAAGAATATACGTAAGAATAAAACAAAATTTGACGTTACCCTGTTTGGCCGCGTTATCGAGAGCAGTGTTCAAGGCTGCAATTTCCTCCTGCATGAGGGCCATGGGTCTAGGGTAGCTCGTCGAAAACATGGTCGTCGAAAGAGTAACTCGTCGAGGACGAGTCGTCGGAAGGGTAATTCGTCGTTTGGGCAAGTGGTCGAAAATAATACTTGTCGAGAGTATTTTTTTAATAAAATACGATTCTAAATATAAATTATAATTTTATAAAATGACATTTACATGAGAACTCTCAGCAAGAATGCCAAACCGCCTGTTCCAGGCCTCCGCTGCATTATTGGTTCGGGAATATTATATTACACTTAGGCATTAGGTGCATATTCAAGAAAAGTATTGGAAACATTGGTGGATCGTACACTGTACCGATGTAGGTTTTTTTAACATAACTAAAAAATTCATCCAGTTTGGGTTTAATTTGACCCTTAAAACTGAACTATACATTCAATTCTCGGCATGCCACTCTTACATCATCGGGCTGAACAAATGCGAGACCGAATATTTTTTTTATTAATAACGCCATTGTAACGTCTTGGTCGTACTGGTTCTTTAAATTGGGTGTCAAATGTCTAAACAACGCTTGAGTATAGTGAAAATGACACCCGTGAAGTACGGCGTTTGGAAACATGTCGTGTACAGCTTTTATCTCAGCTTGTTCAAAATCCATCAGAACAGCTTATCTTAGAAGGGTAAAAAGAACAAAACAATCCTCCCAATTACTGCTGTATTTTAAGTATTTTGGAATGTCCGCAGCGTATATCCGCCCCACGATGCACATGTATTGTGCATACGTGTGAACTCATTAAATATATAGGTAAAATCAGTAAAAAATTCAGTCGATTCAGAAATTCGACGAGTTTCATGCCACCTAAATTCGATGAATTGCCTTTCTGACGAGTTTTCCGTTCGACAAGTAATCAAAATATTTCTTTTTTGTCACGTGTGTTTACTACACGAGGTCCTGACTTTGTTGACATAACATTTCCTTAATTATTATCCAAAAATAGAGCACTATTGTACCTCCGTGGGGGACAATTTGTGCCCAAATTATTTAGAGTATACCATAAGTAAATAAATAATGGACTTATTTGTGAAATAAATGCACTTTTTCTCCATGAGTGATAAACAATTAGAGTTTATTGACTTAATGTTGGGTCTTGTTTTTCACGCAATTTCTGCTGATTTTTTAACTATGCATTTATCTACTTGACTGCACAAGTTGTTCACTTTTCATTCATTGACTAATCCATTCAAACATTGTGTAAGGTCAGTAGAATCAGCAAAAATTGTATGCAAGATGGATTTGTGCACCCGTCAAACTTTGGTCGACCTGATTAAATCGTGTCACCCGGAAATTACACATGCAGCAATTTACTTATGTACAGAAATCTATTCATTAATTAATTCCACCATTTTTCCGAGTGAGAAGGATGTATTGTGACAATTTTTAGTTAATAATTTTTTTGCGTAATTGCTTAAGCACTTCCTTGTTCTGCAACCAAGGAACATGAGGGGCATCCATCTATGTATGTACAGACTTCTCATCCCCCCAAATTTTGATCCCCTTTGGAAAAGTTTGGATCCAATTTGCGTTGACATATTTTTATTTCGGTAAATTTTGAAAAAGCAATTATGCATATTGACACAAATTTGTCATTCATTATTAAATCGGAATTGTAATATAATTAAAAAAATGGAAGGTGAATCGAAGTTGATAAAAGATTTTTTGCAGATTCGTGATTAAAAGGTAATAATTTTTGTAAGTTAAATTCCATAGTCAAAAATTTATTGTTTACAAGGCTGACATTTTAATCGTTTATCTTAACAATTGTACATTTTTCGTAACTTAGCAATGTCACTATTGGTGAGGGCGTTGCGTTGTTTGTTTATGATAGAACCGTCCTAAATCAAGCAGAGAAAAATAGTTGCTAATGGATAATATTTAGTGGGTTATTATGGAACATGTGGGAGCTTACCTTTTTTCGCATGGTGGGATTTCCATATTTTGTGAAATCGTAGGAACCATAGTGCATAATTGATTGTGCGTCGTACGGTACTCCAAAAGTTAACGAGCCCGAATAAATTTTATACTGGTATTGCGCATCTGTTGAGAGGAGAAACTGGATTAGATTGTTTGTTGTATTTTTAAAAATTAAATGCAGTATTTCTCGTGAAAAAAACGCCTATAAAAATTATGGTAAGAGATGTTTATTTTTGCGAGATAGCAAAAAATCCAAACATTAAGCCCATCTGGCGGATAATCCGTATTTTTAAAATACAAGGGGTGTAACGAAACGTGTCGTTTCTTTTGTGCATATCTTGCACCTTGTATTTTTTGCATATCTTGGATTTTTTGCGTGTCTTACACCTTGAATTGCTTGAATTTGTGGCCAATATAATTTGGATGGCGTGGAACAAATTATGTAAGCACTTTACTGCTAATTTTTTTCGCCAAATTTCCGATTTTAAATTTAATATAGATGTATTCGCAAGAAGATAATTAATTGACTTACTTCCATCCTCAATTTGGTCGGGATAAACGGTAATGTAGTTGTCTCTGTCGGGTCGGGTTTGTTCGTGGTTGAAGCCCATCGCGTGAATATTCTCGTGCATGATGATCCCCTTGTAAACGCAACCGTTTTCCTGGAGGTTGATTATTTGTCGGCCACCCTCTATATTTTTTAGAGATTTTTAATATAATGGTCATTTTATAGTTCAACAAATTTTGCCCAAAATTTGTCAAATTAAAAAAAAAATATTGCCCCACAAGAGGGCACAGGGCTTTTTTTAGTTTGTAAAGGAATAAGAAACAGATAACAAGAAGGTAAAAAGAAACATTTGAATTTTGAAGACTAATACTGATAGTAAATAGTGATCTCAAATTTTGAGACAATTTTGGTCCAAAGTTTTAGATTTTTTGTACATACGTCGTCCAACTCCGGTGGAATAGCAGCCCGTTCGGTCTCCGCCTTTTTGAATGTAGACAAAATCGCCACTCGCGGCCGCGCCGGTGGGCCATTTTCGGATCGGGATGCAAATCTTGGTACTGATTTCGTACAATGCACCTTCAATTAGTTGGGCTTGTTCGGTGCCTGGAAATATTGAGGAGAAAATGGGGTAAAGTGAGAACAAATCATGTTATGTGATTGTTAATTTACTCCATTCTGGGGCAAGTTGGACCGTGTAGCCGTTTCTCCAGCGGGAATATTCGTTCGGGTTGCCGGATAGGGATGAGATTTGGTCAGAATCGTTGGTTTTACATTGTCCAGCAAGACCAGCGGGGTTGAGGCGTTGTTCTGAAATGAGAGAATTTTTAATTACGTAAATTTTGGTTAAAACAATCCCAAGTTTTCTATAAAATTTTGAAATTCTCCAAGTAAAAAAAAATTTCTCTAGAACGTCGTGTTACAAACTTATACTCATATCAACCTTCTCACACCTCATCTACATATCCCGGAAATTGAGCTAACTCACGTAACTTCCAAATTTTTGCGAAATTTGGGAGATTTCGCAAAATTCTTTAACGTAATCCCCGCCAAAGGGAAACCCATATTGCATTACGGCCTTAAATGCACGGTTGTAAAATGAAATCACGTTAAGTTTAACCAGAGAGAGTTCTAATTCTTTAGTTGCGACTTGGAGCGGGGAATTATCATGTGGATCAGACGGAAATTTCTCGTCTGTTAGTACAGCAAGAAGATTAGCTTGGCTCTGCTGCTCGTTGTTCCGCTCTATGATTTTATAAATTTCAAACACAGCCCCCATCGCTCCATCCAGTTTTAGAATGAGGTTATCCAAATTCAAAGTACCATTTGGGTCTACTGCTTTAGTAAATCTCTGAATGTCTAGTCGAGCTGGTGAAAGGCCATTGGAATATTTTCGCAACTTTACGCTACACATTAGCATGTTTTAATTTCACAAAATTATTTTGCAAACTCATCCTCCAAGAAATTCAAGGTGGCTAAATCCAAATTGATTTTTTAGTAAGACCTACGAGACTTGCATAATCATAAGGATTATTTGCGAATCCCCACAAATATAATAAAGTTCATACATAATCTGCTAAATGTGTTTGGACACGAAATAAGACGTTGTCGTGAGTACGCTTTATCTTTCGTAAATTCGCAAAATTCCGAAGAATCTTGACTCACCTAGGATGCTGAGGGCAACCGGTGATTTCTTAACTGCAACTGGACCACTGGCTGGGGCAGAGTGACACTCCTCAGCAAAAACTAGCAGCACTAATGTTCCCGAAAAAAATCGCAACATTTTAGAAATTCCTATTAGAAATTTGAGTTTGTTAATGTACGTAAAACTGAATAATTCAAAAGTAGGACGGCACGATTTTATACCCAAATTAATTGCATGTTCCGTCTAAATAAATGAGTCCTGAATGAATTATAGATTCTGCAAATATGTATTAAATTGAGTCCGAGAAATGGGGACGAAGCTTACACTAATTACCTGTTTTGCGAATTATATGGGCGTCACGACCATAAGCGAATTACAAACAGTGCAATTAGTCCACGTGCATAAGGCAATTAGTAACACATCCGAGGATCAATTAAACAGTTGGTTCAACTTACGCAGGTAATTTCCTATATATGTGCAATGAGGTATGAATAGCATATAATAAAAAAGATGATAGCTTTTTCAGGTGATTAAATAAATCATGCTAAACAAACAAACTTAATTGGCATTTGCCTCTATCGTCAAGCTTTCGTGGAAATATTGTTTACGGCTGGTATGCACCTTTTTATATATTTTTCTAATTTAATCACCAAAGATACATATGTACATACAAATGAGAACAATACATTCTTAAAAATAATCCTACCCATTTGAAAAGTATCCCGTCTAAATTCAATGGTCAGTAAACTATACAAAATCCAGAGTAAACTTGACTTTTAATCATTAACGTTAGGATTCTGAATAAAATATGCTTTACTTAATACAGAACCTAGCGTGTGATTAGCGAATTTGTGCGATTCGCCGTATGAGTAATAGAGGCAGGAAGTAATTTCGTGCGCCTTGCGTTTCTTGCAGGTCGAAATAGCTTAAAGAAATGCAAAAGCCAAAGCTAAATCTTACATCATTTGTGACCTAAACGCTATTTGGTCTAATAATAAAAGGCCTTATCCTTACGAACGTGAGCAAAAAGAAGTCCACATGGTGGCAAAAAATTGACTTGTAAATTCATCTACGATCTTGTGCATCCTTAAGGGTACATAGTTTTCAATTATTCTCAAAGTGATGTTGCGATGCGAGTTATGATTGCCCTATATTTGTAAATATACCGACCATGATTCGAAATGTTTAATGTTTATACGGGCCCAAAATAAATATACATACATAAGCAGGGATATGCGTCTAGCGCATGGGCTGGTGGAAAAATGCAGTATTCTAACTCAAAACAAAATTATTTGTTGAATTCGTCATACATCTCAAGTCATATATTTCATATATTTATTTCACATAATTAACACGCATAACATTAAATTTGATGTTATTTTCCAACTTTTCTATTGTAAAATTGGAAATACCAATTTCAATCTATTCGAAAAGTATTCAATTTATCCTTAACTATCATAAATGAATTCGCCAGAGATTTTGAGCAAATAAGGTACACTCTTTCTTCGAATTTCCACTAATATAAATATACTTCGTCCATGTACGCATATTTTTCATTACGCATTTCCCGGAAATCTATTATTATGCATTTTAGGAAATGTAAATACGCTCAGTTCCGCCTGTGAGTCACAGGCGTAACTGAGCGTACTTTCATTTCCTAAAAATCGGTTAGACGACTACCCTTACCAGTCACAGGCTGTGATTGGTAAGGGTAGTCGTCTAAAAATACGCACATGATACCGAGAAACCCTTTTCACCCTTAGCAGCTATTAAAAACTGACCTCATCAACTTCTCGAGGTTCAGTTTGCCTTATGAACACGACTCGATAACGACTATTAAATTTTCTTGTTATAAATTTTAATAAATTTTCGTAACAAAATGTTTTCCATTTTTAAATCAAAAGTTCCCAAACCATCACTGTCATCAAGTTCAATTGCAAGTTCGCCACAAACAACCTCAAAAAAAGTGGACGACGAAGTGTCCAATAAATCAGCCAGTTCTTGTGACCCACGTGACCACTTGCTGTTGGACGCCGTTAAAACTTTGGAAAAAATGATGATCACCCAGCAACAACAATTCGCTCAACTTTACGACCTTTGCGAATCCAGATTTAATAAGATTGAACGCCAAGGGAAGCTTATTCAGAAGTTGGAGGCAGAAAATAACTCTCTCCACGACAGATTAAACCGTTTTCAGGAGAATGATACAAGTTACCGGGAATTGCTCAACAAAAATTTGGATCGTATGTTCAAGTGTTATTTATGTACATAGTCAGAAACACTCAAGTGTCAAAAGCTGATTTCACCAAAAGTACCCGTCAGAATTAAAAACGGATACGTACATTAGAAAGCCCATGCGATTTCGATTCCGAATCACTTTTCCATTCCAAATTATTCGAAAAAACGGCCCAAATAGAAAACTTTGAAATGAGGATGTCGGCGATTTTTTGCTCACTTCGAGAATGAGCAAAAATTCTTCAATTGAAAAATCTTTAAAATATCTCAAACTCAAGTCTGACGTAGCCAAGTGCATACTTAAAATGTGAGTAGAACCTTGGGCTACAACAAAACGTAAACCACACCCACCTAAAAAATCTTACATTGCCCCCAAAGCTTTCAAAGCCAGAACCTGGCAAATGAACGATATATTTGTTAAAAGTGACCCCAGAGACCAGAGGGTCAAAATAAAAAATCATTATGCAGCGCATAAATAACCTTGTGGTCAGGGTTTCGAAATGCGGTAACCATCATACGCTTACTACTTCTCAAAATTGAGAAAGATTAAAAACCCCCAAATTTTTTTTGCGAAATTTGTTTTCTTCCGAAGAGAGTTTTCCACTTGAGATCTTTCTTAGTTTTAACGTATATTATAACCCCCAATCAAGTTTTCTATACGCTCCATATATGTGAGTTGTCTATCAAAAAATAAAATCTTCACAAATGTCATCCCTGGATTTGCATGGAGCAAGTTAGTACAAAAAGGGGAAAAATTCCCCTTTTCTACAGAAATCATTAACCAAGGCCAACCATGACGTGGAAGTTGGCGTCTTTTATGGTGTAGAATCCGGGATACATGTACTACTCAAAAATAATGGTAGGACCTTTTAAGCGGTAGTTGTTCCAAAATACGATGCAAAAGTTGTCAAAAAGCGTTTTTTTCTCATTTTTGTGACTTTCACACACCGCATGGATATGACCACAACAAACAGACCACACCCCTTTCAGCAACGACAAAGGGCTTAAATTAAAGATAATCGCATGGTCTAAATCCCCCGAAATAATAAAGCTTTAGAAAAAATGATTACTCATATTCCCGAGCATTTTTTTCATGAAAACAAGTGCGTACTTTTGGCAGGGTCTGTTTGGCTCTTTTTTAGTTGGCCATTTTCACATAAGATATTAATTTTGATGATTGAGCATTGTTTCTGGATTAGAATTTCATTGGCTTTCCAGTGCAGGGAACCAGAAATTAATAAATGGAAAATTAGAATATTTATAGCGTATTGCATCATTGACACTTGAGTGTTTCCGACTATGTATGTGTACATACCCACTCTTAAAAATAATGTTATCCTTTTGATAAGTAAATCAGCTCTGAATTATAAATTAAGTGAACTTTATGAAATTCGGAGTAAACTTGTCTATTAAGTCTTTATGAAGTTAACATTACTTTGAATTTAGTATAGCTTATTTAATGAAGAATTCAGAGTGCATTTACTTTTCACAAGGGTAACATTATTTCTAAGAGTGTACCAGAAATTTTCGCACCAAGCTTAATACACTTTTTGCTTCAATGTAGTAATTATTGAACGGGTTAAAAACGTTGAGACAGAAATGTATGGAGTACAAGAAGAGAATATCAAGGGGAAGACGCCGATAACTCGCAGTATGATAAGTACATACATATAGTTTTGATATTACTTGATAGCTAATGGATATTTATAATCGTTAATTTAAAAAGTTTAAGAATCATTTCTTTTAATTCTGATTAACAGTGTCACTACAAGCGAATCAGGGAATAGAGAAAAACCATTTGTCACCAAAAATATTAAAGGTAAATCATTAACATAATTATTATCAGTAATTAACGGGTAGTAATTAGTAAAAAAAAAAAAATAAATGTTTATTTTATGCAGGATCAACCCTTGCCCAATGACGGGGAAGAAATTTTGCAGCATGGTCCAACACCACGTGGCAACTTAAAAATTCCTGGTAACATACATACATATACATATTTGCGAAATATATTTTTGGCATTTTTGGAATAAATTTCCTGACGTTAATTTCCATAAAATAATTACAGAGATGAAGACTACGAACATTCCTAGTTTACCTGGACCCAACAGCAGCGCACTGACTGGATCGAATGTAAAAAATACATACATACACTCTTAGAAACTTGGTATTGAAAAAAACCTGACGGTATTGATACGTGACTCTACCGCCTTGGTATTAAACGGTTATACCATATTGGTATAGAACCGGTATTGAAATTATACCTCAGGGTAATAATTTTAATACTAATTGGTATTAAAGTTTTTACCATGTAGTATTAATTCAATACCGGATCAATACCACGCGGTAGAGTCACATATCAATACCAACGGTTATTGATTTTTTTAAGAGTGTACATAACTGCATATTTAAATCTCAATTAATTATCTTAAAAAATAATTGCTCTAACTTACTTAGGAATTAACTCTGTCGCCCGCTGGAAGTTCTGCAAAAGCAAAACACTTTGAAAACCCAACCGGAACTATGGGTGAGAAATTAAATTATTCAATTTAAATAATTAAACTACAATGCTCCAACGATATCGTGCCTCTGAGGCACATGCTAAAAAGAAAGGACCGGTGAGGGGAAGCTGGAAACAGACGATTTTTTGCATTTCATAATTTATGGGTAGCCTCATACCTCCGAGGCAATTCACCCATAAATTGGTTACAGAAAAATTCACAAATTTCTTACAATAATTTTGCCCAACTTTTATAAAAGAGTCTTTTGAAAAGACGCCTTTAATATGAGCAAGTGTGAAAAAATGCGCAAGATAATTTTCTTTAGAATTGATTGTACGTAACATTTTACATGATTTTACAAAGTTGTCAAGCCCTGCGTGAATTTTAATATTCACTTAACAGAGAGTATTAAATGCACTCCTACAAATCCAGTATAAAACAAATACCAAGTGATATTCATATTGCAGACTACCACTTTGGTAGTAATACGGCGTAGAAATAGCTCGATATTAAAGTTTTTTCGTATTAACCTTTTAAAACGTACAGAGGCTTTTTGGCCTCCTTGGAAATATTGCATTGCTGCGGGAGGAAGTCTTTTAGCCTCCTAAAATTTTCGGGCTTTCGGTGGGAGCAGGTCAATAAACCTCTACAAATTTGTAGCTATGGTGCGGGAGGAGGTCTATTGGCCTCCAACTTAATTTTTTCTCCAGGGCGGAAGGATATCAATAGACCTCGTCAAAATTTTTTTTCATATCCCATAATAAAATTTTATATCATGCAATAATTACTTTAATTGATTCAATTTGCACAAAAACACTCGCAATACAAAATTGTGAACCTGTTGAATTTTCTATTACCACATTGCAAAGAATTACATGAAAGAATTTAAATGTGCAATTTATTTTAAAAGACTCAAAAAACCCTTCCCACAGTAACCGTCTATTCGGCGTCCCTTCTTTCACGCAACTAGATTTTCTCCTTAGAAAATTACTCCCGAACAATAACCCGTTAATCACAGTAAATCTCCCGCAGTAACGCCATGACACCGTCATTATACATACGTTTCAAAAGGTTAATGGGAAATTTTCACGTACAAAGCGCCACAAAGAAATAGTCTTCTCAGAATATAGACGGAACCAGAAATTCATGTTCCTCGGAGTCATGCATGAAATCTTTATGAAAAATTGAAAAACTGCAAATTGAAAAATAAAAATAAAAAAATCATTTAACCCTAAGCATAAAAAACTCCTAATAAACGTATTTTTGGAGGTAAAAAAATAATTTTCTGTGACGAAACACACTGGACTGTAAATAAATATTCGCCTTAATTATTTGCACATTTTTGATGTACAAGTCAAAATTTTAAAAAATTGTGAAATTTTTGTTTAGTTGTCTCTCCGCATAAGCTTCCTGACCATATCATACATATTTCTAACTTTGTAACTTCTCTCTTTATTATTAGGAATGAGGACAGAGGTAAACTTACCATTTACACTTTACGCTGCCAGCGTGCATTTGGGAAAACTGAACCAACCCATGGTAAAGTCCATCTTCAAACAATGCTATCTCCGGAGCTGGACGCCCACACAGGATCTTCTTTGCGACCTGGAATTTTACGATGGACGAATGGGACCTGACCTTAGAAAGAAGGAACATATTTATGTACCCGCGAAATGCAAAACTTGCCAGCTTAAATTTTCCTTCACGATTAAACACAAACCCCAGGAGGGCAACGACTTTACTCTGATCATGAGGTAAATTTCTTACTTTTGTGAATAGTTATGTATGTATGTAAATATGCATAATTATTTATGAAAATGTTTATTTTACAGGACAAGAAACGGAATATGTCATGCTCCCAAGTGAAAAAAAATATGTTGGAATAATATTTCTTGCTCACCGGATTGAGAGAAGTTCTAAAAAAATGTGTCTATCTCAAACATTGAATAATTTATACTATATAACCATATGTACATGCAATTTAATCATTACGAAAATCGTCTTTTCCTTGTCCACCACAATAAACTCGATACATAAATGTTACACAACGTATTATTTAATATTACATAAATTGAGGTAAACTTTTCTTTACAAATTTTGTAACAATCTACACTTTACAATTTATTTAATTTTGTAACAAGGATTTTTTACAACCGTTTTAATCAATCACAATACATACATTTGTATAAAGATTATTTATAATAAGCTAAAATTTAACTGAAACGAATTAACTATATACATATACATATGTTCCAAGTAATATTTGTTTTTAAATACATAATTAACCTAATTAAAGTTGAGTATTAAAATTGTGTTTATTATTTATCGCTTCGTTTCTCCGCCTAACAATGGGGACGCAATATTGAATTGAGATAAAAACCAGGCGAAATGTTCAACAAAATCATTTCCCATATTTCGCAGGAGAAGTTGAGACAGAGCGAGAAAAGTGAATGGCGGTGGGTATCCACCACCATCGTGCGTTAGGGTCGTATGCGCGATCCATTTTCTTACTCTGTTTCTCTCTCTGCACTCATTAGTGGCCAGAGTTTGTTATGGCTCTTGATGTATAAGCCACTCCCACAGAAACTTTGACCCCAAAAATCTCATGGTCCTAGGCATTTTCAGTCGGGCAACAAAAGCTGAAAATATAGCTCTTCTGACGGAGAAAATTCTGGCATCAGGTTGTCAGACTCAAAATGCCTAGGACCATGACTTTTTTAAGGATTTATGCATAGGTCAAAAAACCGCCAATTTTCGAATTTTGAAACTTTGGATGCATCAAAATGTCGGTATTCATGGGGAAATTAGAATTGCAAATGCAACTTGAGGTCTAATTCTTGTTATACCGAATGTACGATGGCTTTCTCATTTTTCTCAGTTTCTTTTCTCAATTTTTAAAGGGGGGGTAGTTGCATATAATTCAAAAATAGCTATGCTACATTGACGGTTGCACCAAAATTCTACTTGCAAATTTTTATATTTAATTCGAAGAAATCGATGCGACGTAGAATGGAACATTTCCCATGATATGTACCTTGAGTGAAATTTCTAGTTCAAAATTCGCATATACTATCTGTCCACGGCAAGTTGAACCCGGAGATATGGGAGACTAAACTCAGTTCAACGTTAATAAGCATGGGCCGGGATTTAGTCTTCCATATCTCCGGGTTCAACTTGCCGTGGACAGACTATATGTATAAAATCGTCCAAAATCGTGCCGAAACATGTCAGATCGGATTCGTCTCCTTAAATACATATAAATATTCCAATTTTTTCTATTGCAATTGGCACCCAACTGAACTCTACAATATATTACAAGTCGGATATGTACGTGTTCTTTTTAAAACTAGCATTAAAAATTGAGTAATTATTAACCACCACGAAAAATTAGTAGTGACACTGGAGCACTTGTCCAGAATTCGCGAAGTTTATAAGGTGGCCAAAACCTGTATTTTCACCATGAGCAACTCGTAAATATGTAGACCTCCAAGGTGAAAATATGCGTGTTTGTCAATTTCGCTATATGCAAAGTGGTACAAATTTACATATTTAACTGTCTGATGTATGCATGTGCACACAAATGATACTTCTCATACACACATCCAATATATATTTATTTATTAGTTATCCCTCCTTCGAACACAGTCAGATTGCAATCTCGATTAATATAAAAAAACCCGTCCTCCTTAAAACCGCATTTTAGCGCAAGATGACACACATACATACGTTAAAATAGGAGAAAATCTTGTTGAAAACCGGTGATGAATGGTACCTAGTGCCAGAGCTCGGCGGATCTCATATTGGATATTCGGAGGTTGAATTGGGGAGGGAGAATTTATCTATAATGGATATGGATATTTGGATACAGGAGGGCGAAATTTTTGTAAGGATGAATATGGATGGATATTTAGATATTGGAAGGGAGATTTTTTATTGGGATGGATATTTGGATAAGGGGGTGATACTAATGAAAGTGAGTGACAATAATGAAAAACGGAATCAATTCACACATCCAAAATTTTTATTTTGACAAGATTCTCAAGGTTTGTAGAGCTAATTTTTCAGAGTTTAACGGTCGAAGTCCGGTGTTCCTACCCCTCCCCTTTGCAGAGTGGGAGGAGCTTAAAGTTGCGAAAATAGCCTCCGTCTGCGATTTTTAGCTCAACGGCGGGTCAATATTTTTTAAAACGGTTTTCGCCAAAAGTTTCCTAATTTTGTTCTCTACAACCGTTTTCGAGCGTTTTTCGAAATTCACGAAACGAATTTCACGATTTCAAAATAAACCTATAGAAAGGTCAAGTCTCACATTACCCCATAAGTGGGGTATCGTTGGAAAGATCTCGGCGGGAGGGTTCAGAATATATATACTTTGTCTGGTGTATAACAACTCCTTGATGCTACAGACACAGAAGAATATTTTTGAGTTCTTTCCAATCTATTGCTATGTTAGCTCCCAATCTACTGCTGTGTTAGGTTATGGATGCTTGAAATCGTGAAATTACTTTGGAATTTAATTCGGAATCTAATTTAATCCGGAATTTAATTAAAAAATTCCAACAAAGTCGCAAAACGGTTTTGCCAAAACGCACCAAAATTTTTGTTTCAGGGATCGAAAAAACACTCGCAATTTTGTTCCAAATGGAGGAATGCATCGGAACAAAATTAACCGAGTACTGGACAGATACGAGGAGCGCGGAAATGCAGATTTCAAAAAATCAGTTTGCCGACCTACCCTCCTGGGATCGGTGAAAGTAGTGAAGAGAGTGGACATAGCTTTTCTCAAGAAATATTATTTACCAACTGCCACTTTCATTAGTATCACCCCCTTATTTGGGGGTGAAATTTTTGTATGGATATGGATGGATATTTAGACATTGGAAGGAGAGATTTTTTATGGGGATGGATATTTGGATATTCGGGGGTGAAGTTTTTGTATGGAATGGATTGGATATTGGAGGGCGAGATTCTTTTATGAGGAGATTTTTTAATGGATATGGACATTTGGATATTTAAATGCGAGATTTTTTCATGGATATAGATTTTTGGATATTGGTGAGAGAAAGATTCTTTTACGAATATCTGTATACACACTCGATAGCAAGAATTTGGCCTACATAGATATTTGGATATCAGAGGGCGAGATTTTGACCCAGATATCGATACTCACACGGAGATTGGGTATTCTCACCCAATATTCGCCCAGCTCTGGTCACTTTGGTTCCAAAACCAAATTTAGTGTCTTCTACTTGACCCCTCCACTCAAAAAGCTGCGTTCCTAGAATTTTAATCGTGCCAAACCCAGACCTGGTAAATTTATATGTGTATGTATTACAATTTCACAATTTAGTTCAGTTGGTAACCTATGTTCACCGAGGTTGGTAAAGTTGATTTTATCCAAACCTCAAAGTGTAAAGATATTTTTCAGAAATTGTGAAACCTAATTTTGACAGATATGTCCACCTCACAGGGAATGCTTAACATGGTAAATTTTTATGAACTTTGCATATTTTGTTTCATTTCATGTAAAGGATGGTTAAAATGTCACGCTACAATTTTTCGATGGGAAAAATTCGTAAATTTCCATTAGCTAGTGAAATTTTGTCTCCGAAATTCAACAGTTTAAGAATTTTGTAATAAATTTTGATAATAACTACTTGTAAAAATGTCCATCCCAAATCTTTTAACTATTGGAGATTTAGGGACTTTTCCAATTGAAAAAATTTTCCATTTTAGCGTAACATTTAAACCACCCTGTAATAATAATAATAATAATAATAATAATAATAATAATTTATTGCATCATAGCCAACAGCCTTTGCACATCATGAATGGTTACATAATATTGATATCATAAAATCGGAAAAAAAGTAAAAGTAATTATTGGTCAGAACATAAGTCAAAATATTTGGCGACTTTGTGCCAAAAGAGAAATAAGTTATTCATTAATTTATCACTATATGAAGCAGAAAAAAGAGCAACAAAAAGTTGCATATTGTTAAATTCAGTTGGATTATAATTAGGAATTAATGGGTAAATTAGTGATTGGCGCTCAGATTTTAATGAAGTACATGTAAACATAAGATGTTCAACAGAACAATTATCACTGCATAAGGGACAACTTGAATTTAGAGGGATGTAGAATTGTCCGATTTTAACACTAAATTTATTGAGGCGCAATTGGGTCATCAAACTGCATTTCTGCATGGGGTGGTTCATATTGAAGTATCCTTCTGTGTCAGCTTTCGGTTTGATGAGTTGGTAATGTGGGATGAAGTTGGATTTTTGCATCCTCACGACGTCCTGATTCCTAAGATGTAGCTCATAGTTTGTTAGGAGAGTTTTCCTCATGGTCACTAGGGAAGTCAGAGTTAGTGGAAGGTTTTCACATCTTGCGATCTTGAGTAGATTAAGGAAGTCTTCTCCCCAGCAATGGTTCCTTTGCATTGTTGACGAGTTGAGCCGTGTCCACTTCATTTGCGTAATCATACATTTTCTTACGGGGAGTCTTCTTTTTTTCTAAATATTCGCTCCCAGAAACCCAATGTGTCGGCAAGATGTTGTACTCTTGTGTCCCGTGCACCAGTTTCCAATCGCACAAAGTAATCAGGAGTCGATGGGGGAAGTCTGAGTAGCTTTTTTAGGAAACGGATTTGTATTTTGTCAATGTCATCTATAAACTTCATGGCCCAGATTGATGAGCCGTAAAGTAGAGTAGCCCGCGCAATGGAGTTGAATAGTTTAAATTGCGTTGATAAGGGTGGAGCAACAGATCTTCTCGTAATGTGAAGGACTTTCACTACGGCCGCAGTTGCTTTTTCTTTGAACTCTTTATGGGCTAGATTGAAAGTCCCGTTTCTATGCATAGTCACTCCTAGATAGGTATATGAATCTACAATGTCAACAGCATCTTCATTCCATTTGAAAGATGTGAGGTCACGTGATCTTCTCTTGATGAAGACGACAATTTTCGTTTTTGAAATATTGCATAGCAGACCGCGGTCCTTAAAAAACTTAGCAGCAACATTGATTTTTCCCTGGAGAGCATCCGCAGGATTAGCGACGATAACGACATCATCAGCAAACATTAGAATGTGGAAGTCGGTTGATCCAATTTTGACTGGTGAGATGCCACTTCTTTGCAGTCGGCGTGCAAGGCCATCTATGAAAAAGTTGAAGAGGCATGATGATTGCGGTTCTCCTTGTAAGACGCCTTTTTGGAATTGAAAGGACGCTGTT